AGCCAGGGAGGCCTCATTGTTTTCTCTTCCGCCAGCCTCCAGCTCCCCCCGCCTTGAGTCTACGGACAGCTACGAGCCCGTGGACGCCTCACCTGGAAGGAGCTGCAGCCCCCTCGCCTCCCCGGGCAACGGTCTCGGTAGGACATGGGTGTGGGGGGGGAGGGGTACAGTAGGGGGCAGCCCCCAGGATGGGGGTGGGGCAGGCCCCTGACTCTGATTGGGGATATGAAGGAGGTGATGGGGGAGAGCCCAGGGCTGTCAGGGGGAGGGGACCCAGGAGTCCTGGGCTGGGCGGGGAGACCCTGGAGCAGTTTGGATCTGGGGAGTCTGGACCGGGGGGAGGGGGGGGGTAGGTGAAGGCTCCCCCTCATTGTTGTCTCTCCCCCAGGCTATAACTTCCGCATCGGGAAGCCAAAAGGCCCCCGCGACCCCCCGGCTGAGTGGACGCGGCTCTAGGGGGCCTGTGGGGTGGGTGGGGGCACTGGGGCCTGTGCCCCTCCCACCCCAACCCCAGATGGACTGAGCCAAGCCGCAGCCCCGGCATCACCCCCCGGCACAGAGCGAACCACCATCAACTGACAGCAGCCTGGGAGCCAGGACTCCTGGGTTCCCTTCCAGGCGCAGGGAGAAGAGTAACGAACACCACCTTTAACTCAGTGGGGCACCGCTGCAAGCTAGGCCCCAGAGCTTGGGGGCACGGGGCTAAATCCCCCCCCCCCCGCGGCAAGATGGGAACAGCTGTGAACAGACAGCAGCAGAAACCAAACCAAGGGTCGAACCAAGCTGTGTATTAAAGCAGACCCTACAAAAATAAAAGTGTGAAAACAACAGCTCGGCTGGTGCTTCCCCCTCCACCGCAGGGCGATACCCACGGGGCTGGGGCAGCACCCCGATGGGCCGGCCTGGGACCTGAAACCACAGCTGGAGACGTCAGCATCCTTCTGGGCCAGGGCCTGTCCTTTGCACTCCGACGCTCCAAACCGCTCCAGGTTAAACTCCCAGCCGGCGACGAGCGAGTGCCCCTGCGATCTCTGGCTGCACGGGCCCCACGTCCTGTGTCCGAGCCTGAGGGGGTGTCCGCCAGGGCAGGGGGGACGCTCTGGGCCAGGCCTGCCCCTTAGTCGGCGCTCAGGAACTGCCGCTTGCGGGCCGTGTTGGTGTAAGGATGCCAGCGCCACTCCACGTCGGCCGTGGCTGCCTGCTCCAGCGTGCCCAGCTTGATCATGTACACTGTAACGAGGGAGGGGCGAGGGGGTCAGCAGGGTGCCCCCAGGAAGCACCCGCTGCTGGGAGACAGGCAAAGCCGGGGAGCCCCCCACCCCAATCGCTCAGGGGGCGAGGGGCAGGATGGGACACATTTTCTGTAATCGATTGACGATGCCCATGTGTGCCTCAGTTTCCCCTGGATTCTGCACAGCTCCCCGGCATGGGGGGAGCTATAAACCAGCACTGGGGGGCATCTGGCCACCCGGGCTGCCACGACTGGGTCATTCAGCAACTGCTGGGGGGGACCCTCCTGGGGGTGCGGGATGGGGAGAGGGGGCTGAACCAGAGTGCCTTGTACAGGCATCACAGACACTTGGCGGAATGAGGATAAGCACCGGGACACAGTAATACCAGGGGACAAAGCCAGTCGTGCCGGGGGAGTGGCACTAGATGTGAAAGAAAGCGTAGAATCAAAATCTTAAATGAACCAAACCGTACCATGAAATCTCTCTGGCCAGTAACTCCGTGCTCGACTAATAAGACTAGAGTGGGAGGGATATTACCGACCACCTGGCCAGGATGGGGAGAGTGACTATGAAATGCTCAGGGAGAGGAGAGAGGCTATAAAAATAAACTCCATAATAATGGGGGATTTCAACTACCCCCCCATTGACTGGGTCCATCGCCTCAGGACAGGATGCGGAGATAAAGTTTCTTGACACCTTAAATGACTGCTTCTTGGAGCAGCTAATCCTGGAACCCACCAGAGGAGAGGGAATTCTTGATTTAGTCCTAAGTGGAGATCAGGATCTGGTCCAAGAGGTGAATATAGCTCGACCGCTTGGTAATAGTGACCACAATATAATGAAATGTAACATCCCTGTGGCAGGAAAAGCACCAGAACGGCCCAACACTGTAGCATTTCATTTCAGAAAAGGGAACTACACAAAAACGAGGAGGTTAGTGACACAGACATTAAAAGGTTCAGCGCCAACAGTGAAATCCCTGCAAGCTGCGTGGAAACTTTTTAAAGACGCCATAACAGAGGCACCACTTAAATGTATCCCCCAACTTTAGTAAGAGACCCAAACCAGAGCCACCGTGGCTAAACACAGTAAAAGAAGCAGTGAGAGGCCAAAAGGCCTCCTTTAAAAAGCGGAAGTTAAATCCTAGGGAGGAAAACAGAAAGGAGCATAAACGCTGGCAAATGAAGTGTAGCCAAAGACTCCGAAAGTAACAGCAAATTTGTTTTTAAGTACCTCAGAAGCAGGAAGCTGCTAAACAAGCAGTGGGGCCACTGGACGATCGAGGTGCTAAAGGAGCACTCAAGGACAATAAGGCCATTGCAGAGAAACTAAATGAATTCTTTGCATCCGTCTTCACGGCTGAGGACGTGAGGGAGATTCCCAAACCTGAGTCTTTTTAGGTGACAAATCTGAGGAACTGTCCCAGGCTGAGGTGTCACTAGAAGAGGTTTGGGAACAAATTGACGAACTAAACAGTAATACGTCACCAGGACCAGATGGCATTCACCCAAGAGTTCTGAAGGACTCCAATGCGAAATTGCAGGACTTAACTATGGTATGTAACCTAGCATTTAAATTAGCTTCTGTACCAAATGATGAGGACAGCTAATGTGACGCCAATTTTCAAAAAGGGCTCCAGCGATGATCCCGACAATTACAGGCCGGTAAACCTGATTTCAGTACCGGGCAAACTGGTTGAAACTCTAGTAAAGAACCAAAAACTGTCAGAAACAGAGATGAACATAATTTGTTAGGAAAGAGTCAACATGGTTTTAGGAAAGGGAAATCGCGCCTCGCCAATCTACTAGAATTCTTTGATGGGTCAACAAGCATGTGGACAAGGGGGATCCAGTGGAGACAGTGTACTTAGATTTTCAGAAAGCCTTTGACAAGGTCCTTCACCAAAGGCTGTTAAGCAAAGTGAGCTGTCACGGGATACGAGGGAAGGGCCCCTCATGGATCGGTAACTGGTTAAAAGACAGGAAACAAAGGGAAGGAATAAATGGTCAGTTTTCAGAATGGAGGGGGGTAAATAGTGGTGTCCCCCAGGGGTCTGTACTGGGCCCAGTCCTATTCAACACATTCATAAACAATCTGGAAAAAGGGGTAAACAGGGAGATGGCAAAATTTGCAGATGATCCAAAACTACTCAAGATAGTTAAGTCCCAGGCAGACTGCGAAGAGCTACAAAGGGATCTCACAAAACTGGGTGACTGGGCAACAAAATGGCAGATGAAATTCAATATTGATAAAGGCAAAGTGATGCACATCGGAGAACAGAATCCCAACTACACATATACGATGATGGGGTCTGAATTAGCTGATACCACTCATGAAAGATCTTGGAGTCACTGTGGAGACTTCTCTGAAAAACATCCACTCAACGCGCAGCGGCGTCAAAAAACGAACAGAATGGTGGGAACCGTTAAGAAAAGGGGAGATAAGATAGGAAATATCCTATTGCCTCTATATAAATCCATGGCACGACCACATCTGGAATACTGCGTGCAGATGTGGTCGCCCCATCTCAAAAAAGATAGATTGGAATTGGAAAAGGTTCAGAAAAGGGCAACAAAAATGATCAGGGGTCTGGAACAGCTTCTGTATGAGGAGAGATTAATCTTTCAGCTTGGAAAAAAAGACGATTTGGGGGGGGGGGGGTATGATCGAAGTCTATAAAATCATGACTGGTGCGGAGAAAGTAAATCAGGAAATGTTATTTACTCCTGCTCATAACATAAGAACTAGGGGTCACTCAATGAAATTAATAGGCAGCAGGTTTAAAACAAACAAAAGGAAGTATTTCTTCACACAACGCACAGTCAACCTGTGGAACTCCTTGCCAGAGGATGTTGTGAAGGCCAAGACTAACAGGGTTCAGAAAAGAACTAGATGATTTAATGGAGGATCGGTCCATCAATGGCTATTAGCCAGGCTGGGCGTGGATGGGGTCCCAGCCTCTGTTTGCCAGGAGCTGGGAATGGGCGACAGGGGATGGATCACTTGACGATTCCCTGTTCTGTTCATTCCCTCTGGGGCACCTGGCACTGGCCACTGTCAGAGGACAGGATACTGGGCTAGATGGACCCTTGGTCTGACCCAGTCTGGCCGTTATGTTCTTATGAGGGGCCCGCAGAGACATGACTCACGTTTCATCTCGAAGCGCGGCCCCACCTCAGACAGCTCGATGTTGCGGTGGTCCAACTTCTTATAGACGTGGTGCCTGCGGGGGGCACAGGAGAAAGGGGTCACCCAGCGTGGGCCTGGCTCTCAGCCCCCCCGCCAGCCCCCACTCCCCTCCCAGAGCTGGGAGAGAACCCAGGCATCCTTGCACCCAGCCATCCCCATGTGGTGTTATATGTGTCTGTTCCCCAGCTGCCCCGCCCCAGAAGTGGCTGCATCCAGGAGCAGGCCTGGCACCTGAAGGAGATGTAATCGTCCTGGTTGGCGAAGGTGATGACCCGCTTGCTGTCCTCCTTGGGCACCGGGAAGAGGTACTTGAGAATGCTGCAGACCTGAGGGGCAGAGACCGAGAAACACTGGGTTGGGGGGAGGAGGGGGAGTGAATTGAGACCCTACAATAACAAGCCAGTCCCGAGATCGTTCTAACGTCCCCCAGGAGACCCTACAATAAACACACCGCGCACAAACATTCCCCAGAGACCCTACACTGTCAAAGCAGTCTCCGCCCACCTCCCCTGGCAGCCCCAGTCCCTAGAAGACCCTACAATAACACAGCCAGCCTGGGCAGTCCCAGAAGACTAGACAAGGACCCCGGCACCCCCGGCTGACCCGCTGGCCCAGGCGGGAGGTGAAGTTGTGGAAGATCAGGTGGGGGGTGGCCTCGGACATGGTGCCGATGTCGGGGACTTCATGTCGCATGACCACGTTGCAGAGGGTGAAGAATGCCGTGGGGCCGAAGGGCAGGTGAGAGACGATCAGCCCGTCTGGGGGGAGGGGAGAGGGGGTGGTGGTTAGCGGTGGGGGGGGCTGGGATGGAGCTGCCCTGCCCCCCCCCCCCCGATTCATCCACCCCACAGCCCCCGGCTAAAAGGCCCTGCAGCCCCCCCCCCGCCTTGGGGACCCCCCAGAAATAACAGCGGAGGGGGACCCCCTTCAGAATCCCCGACAGAGGGGAAGCAGCTCCCCCCCCAGCAGCCCCAGACAGAGGGTGAGGGGGGAGTCCCCCCAGCACGCGCCCCCCGGCTCACCCGGCTGCCCGCGGTGTTCATGCAGCACCAGCAGGTCCGTGACGCCGTTGGCCTTGCAGGCCCGGAGCAGGGCCCCCACCTCGTGTCGCCCCCGGTTCATGCGCTGGGCGCCCGGCACCACCAGCTTCATCTCCTGCCGCCGAGAGAGAGGGGGTGGGGGTGAGAGAGACACTACAATAACAGACCTGCCCCTCCGCCGAACGGCCCGACACCACCACACCCAGCCCCCCTATGTCAGGAGACCTGACGACAGCCCCTAATGCAGCCCCCCCACCCCTTAGGAGACCCTACAATAACAAAGTTGGCCCTACCCACCAGCCCCAGTCCCCGGGAGGCCCTGCAGAAACAAACCAGTGCCCAGGAGACCCTACAATAACAAACCCAG